GAAAGGCACTGCCAAGCTGTGTGGCTCAATACTTATAAGTTGCGCTGCAAAGGAAAAGAAAAACGTAGAAGGAAAATGTCTGAATGCGTATTACCACAAATATCATATTTTTGTACAATTAAAGATAAGCGATACTCTGTAACTACAATATCATTGTTTGCAATAACTATGCGTTGTGAATAATCGTCATCGTTTTCATAGATTATCCGAGACAGTACATAATTAAAAAAAAAAAGCAATATGATTGATATACTATTAAGAAGCACATCGAGGGGTATTTCTTATTTGTGTACATAAAGGGTATTTTCTGTCTCTTCATTAAAAAAATTAACAAAACTATGAAACGTGAAACAGTACATGTAAAATCGTATGAAATAGCAGTTACACAATTAGGAAATTGCAATAATTTTAAACTTTTTACCTATATTTTGATAAAGAAAAGAAAAATACATATTGAATATTATAAAGTAAATAATTTTATTTAACTTCAGACAGGCTACCTTCTACGTTATGTAAAAAATATACTGGTATTACATTACTCTTACAAATATATTATGTAAGAGTGTTATGATAATTTAAATATTAGAAAACAGTAAAAAAAAAAGAAAGAATACACGAGTTACTGCTCGTTAATAATTTAACATTTCTCTTTTTTTTTTTTTAAGAAACTTTCTATTAGCATTTTGTTGTGTTTACTGAAATATCTCTGCCCTTACTTTTATGACTGAACATTGTCTATTACCTCATTTTATATAAAGTAACATGATATTGTAACAATATCAGGAAATTATCCGTCTAGAATGTGGATTGCCTAAAAAAATCCATCAAATAATTTTTTGAATGTAATGGTGCTAAGTATTTGAAGCTAAAGTTATTTATGAGAGTTAACGTTATCTAAGAAAGACAGAAAATTAGATGCTTATATATTTTCTTGCATCCATGACTCGCAGGAAATTAGTGAAAGCTAGTTTAGAATATTAATTTTTGGGTAATACATCTTAATTAAAAAAAAAAGAATGAAAAGAAAACACTTATTGCGGATATTTTGTGCCCTCATATAGGCTGCAATAATATTATAATTAAAAGTACAACTTAAGATGAATCAACTAGATGCTTGACAAATCAAAATCTTTTTGTAAAAAAATATATATATATAGCCAGCCAGCTTTACAAAAAGAACTTTTATTAATGGCTAGACTGCAGTGTAACATTAAAATTTATGTTTGGTTCGAACGAAGAAATTCCGTCACTCATGTAACCTTTAATCCAGCAAGATTGAATAGTAATTCTCATCATACACAGAAACTTGTTACATGTCAGACGAAGAGTCAAAGAAATACTGCGCTCAAATACTTGCAGCATTTTTTACTGTATATTTATATATTTATTATCATCATTGCCTGTATTATATGAATTCAAATTGAATATGAATGTATTACGAGATAAATATTTATTTTAATAGCAACAATGTGCGTAGTGTGAGAGGAAGGAACAAATTACGTAGTAATTTAAACAGATGTTATAAATTTTAATCGAGTACCTGTCTTATTGCAATAGGAAATATCGTTATGTTTTTTCTGCAGAAAAAGAATAAAAACGCTAAAGTTAATGATAAAAGTTTTTATTAATTAAATTAGACGATTGACAAGTTTATTAACTTTTGTGATTTATTTTTCACAGATACACTAAATTTATATTTTATCTTTACAAGCTAATCCTTGTACTATTATACATATGTTTAACGCGTATAATATTAGGTTGATGCGAAAATAATGTCGGTTTTTATTATTTTAAACTTTGGAGCTTTATTCTCCATAAGGATATGTTCGATTTTGTCAATGTTGTATCATTTTTAAGCACAGATTTCGCTCTGTTAATTGTGTTAGTAATTTTGGTTTCAATGACTGTGTTCAGAAAAAGAAGCTTTACTATTATAAAATTCTTCAATATGATTAGTTATATATAATACATTAGTTATATACATTTAGATACATAAAAGGAACCAAAAACTAATCGTATTGAAGAATTTTACAACAATTATAAAGTTGTTACGTTCAGTTTTCTCTACTCAGCTTTCTAGCCAATGTAAATTTGTGATCAATTATCATTATTATTATTAAATATGATATAGGAAAAAGCAATTAGACTAGGTTCAAACTAGGTTTTAAAATAATAGAAACGGGTTGAAAAATTAATGAAACATTCAACCAAGAAACTACAAATAAATGAATAGTATAATTTCAGAAAATTCGTAACAAGTGTTTTGAGAAAAAAATCAAAACAGGTGGGGACGACCTGCAGTCATTGACGATGACTTTGAAGGCAATTATTAAAGCGGATCAATTAAAAATCATTCAAGAGATCACATTGGAACTAATCGAAGTCAACAGTTTTCGATCAATCTATAATTGTTTGTCATTCAAATCCGATCAGAAAAGTAAAAAAACCGGCATTATGTTTGTATCAATCTAATATATCAGACGTAATTAACATATAGTATGACAAAAAAAAATTTATACAAACCTGAAAAGGCACCTTGCATGTTAAGTCCCTTCGTCTCAACACTACGTTCGTATAACGGAATCGCTTAGTTCGAACTGCCGTTTATCCCGATGTGTAATTACAAAAAAAAAAACCGAAAATAAAAGAAAAAAAACAGGTGTGTTCCTGATCAATCAGCGTGGTTACATTCTATTATTGACACGGCAATCTTGACGACAGGATTCAGGACTGCATTTGAACATTCCTACGCTCTGTAGAATCTAGACGAGAGATAGATACATTCCAGTGTTACACACTAAGGCCGATATTTTTGTTACGTCGTTACCATTAGCACGCATGTTTACAAAATAAGTATGTCTCTCATCATAGACTGTAAGACGATAATTTAAGGAGCGTCCTTTTGTATCCGCCGCGGCTACAAGTTTTACTCGGATTTTTCGAAAAGATTCGTTTTGAATGGGATTAATCGCATTGCACGATACATTTCTTCTCAGGCGATTCCCGTTTGATAATAAGACGGCAATTTTGGAACTACACATGCTTGTTATATGTCATATGATTTTTTCTTCTCATGTTTGTATTATAGATATATTTAAAAAAATATGTAAAAACTATAGATTGTCTCTTCAAAAAACGTTCGTCGAGATGTATTGTTATTTGGTATAATAATTGTATAACTATTTGGCTCGTAACGCTTTTGGATATATTTACCGGGAAATAAATGATGTCTTCTTTTTGATACGATTGTTTCACGCAGCTTTCGTGAAAGGAACATATCCGACGCTGCTTGTGTGTTGAATCAAGTAACAATTTTATTATGAAAAATGTATGTACATATGTGACATACAGTGTTTAAGTGCATAAATTTTATGGAGAGGCAGTTTCGATATTTTCAAGAGAGAAGATTAGATAGCCATAATCGTAGTTATTCATAATTCACAGTTTAAAACTTCATGAATGAGGCATTGATAACAAAACAATCTGCTTTACGATACTCCTTTACACGATTGCAGATAATTATTTTGTAACCACGTTGAAACATTGGTAGCTAATACCGTGCCTTTTAGTGTGTATGAAATAATTATAAAGAATGCAAATAATAATAAAAAAAAAAAGAAGTACTGTGGCATTGTGGGTTTTTTACGAAACACCTATGTTACTTATTTATGATTTTCAAGTATATAATGTAATAATATATGTATTCATGTGTATATGTTATTTATTTTATAAAGAATTTTCTCTTTTGCAATTGTCGCTACTTTCTTTTCCATTACTCCGTATTTCTATAAAAGTACAGTACGTTACGGTTCTCTTGGTGTAATTTGCAGCCTTAACTTAATAGAGAGATTTGTTCTTTATTGTAGAGGATTGCGCTAAAACTTTCTATTTCGTTTTCGTTAAACTCCCATTACATTCTAGATTGTGTAAAAAAAATTTGGGAATTCCATAAATTTTAATTTTTGGATTATATTTACTCTTAAATATCCATAGCAATGTATTTATTAAACAATAATTCTTTCAATAAGTTAAATCTAAAAATTATTGTTCAAAAAAACATTAAATTATCGAAACAAAGGGCTCTTGATATGTGTCCAACAATATATAACTAAAAAGAAAGGTCTGAAGTATACATCTTTTATTTTAAGTATACAGGGTGTTTGCGAAATAATAAGTTTTATCGCGTAGGGGTAGAATGAACTAAAGCCGCGCGCTTGCATTTGGCGGTGGACCGGATGAATTTGGATATTTTTATAAATTAATATCTCGTTAACTATTGTGAAATGGTTGAGGACTTTTCTTCTCATTGTCAGTTTAGTCCATTCTATCCCTGTGCGACAAAACGTTTTATTACTTCTCAAACACCCTGTATGTAACGAACATACAGTATGTACATCAGTTTTGCAAAAAAGAACAGACAGGCAGGAGAGGGGATCCTAAAATCATTTGTTTTATCGATTCAGTAGGATCTATGGATGACTTATGTCATTGATAGACCATTACACACTATTACATTACAACGCATGTACAAATTTTCTAATTCTGTTTTATACTTATTTCATTATATGTACTTTATATTTGTTTATTATATTATTTTATATTTATTTCATTATATATGTATAAACTACAAAATTTTTACAAAACAAATATTGTTATAAATTGATACCAGAAGCCAATAAAAAATTTTAATTTTAACTTCTTTTCACTTTTAGCATAAAGTTGACTAGTTTAAATTATATTATCATTTATATTTTAAAAAACTGAAAAAGAATTTTTAAGTCTATATAAAGGCATCTAAAAAAATTTATTTAAAAAGTAATCAGTAAAACACAGACGATTTTAAGATCCCTTTAAGGTATTTAACTTGTATATAGTCACTACGTAAGAAAATGTAAAAATTTTAATAGATAAGAGCGTCGTTTTTAATGATACCACGTTATATGCTGCATTTTAATAGTATTATACATTATTTACAATAATGCACCGTATTAAATGCCTTGAACTATAAATATAGTAATGCGATAATGTACCTTTTACCTGGCTATGTACAAAGAATATATAACTAACAGACAGTATGTGACACTGCAATGGTGTCATAATTAAATTACAGTATATGTAACAAGTAACAATATATTTCAAAAAATTCCTGTATTTACATTCTATTGCGTTCTCTTTGCAGTCGTTCGCTGTAAGTTTTTGATACAAGATTAAATGAGTCCATGTATCGATCCATACACATTGCAACACATTTCTGTAAACAAATCATTGAATCAATGAAGTCAGAAAACGGGGAATTAATTCAAACAGATCTTTACTAAAAAAGATTCTGCCACACAGTTGCATAACAAAATTATGTATTATAATTAAAACAAGTAAATCACGTAATGAATTATTCAAACTTTATTACGTGATTTTTTAAATTGTGTAATTTGAAGTCACATGATATTTTCCTTTTTCTTCTATTTCTATTATTAACAAGTCTTCAAAATTTAATAATTATAAAATCATATGATGGATGATGTTGCTTCTAATATTGTGATTTTTTTTATGATTAAAAAAAAATTATGTACTAATTTAGAACAATCCATTATATAATTTACTGAGTTTAATTACATAATTTTATAATGTAACAATAAGTCTAATTGGATTGCTTAAAATCCTTTAAAATTTTTAAACCGAGATACATACTTGGGTGTTGAAAAGAAAGAAAACAAAGATATTGAATGCAAAGAAACCTTTTGTGACATGCTTTTTTTCAATAGGGATTACCATAACAAAATTAACTATGAGTTAAAGTAATCTTGTAAAATTTTAAAACGATTGTAGCAGAGTGGAGAATATTTTTCATGAAAATTTTCTAGTAAATAAAACAATAGTCTTTAGAAAATTCTGAGACTTAATAAATAGGAAGTTTATTATCCAGGTGATTTTGTAGCAATTTTTTAAGGTTAAATTTGATGTAGAAAAATTTACTTGTTCTGAGCTGTCCAGCGAGGTGCCCGGCTTGCTAATACATTTTTTAAAGCATTTTTCCGTCATTTTCTGCAAATACATGTAAAACCGTATAACTTTCAGTTAGTTGAAGTGCGCTATGGGAAAAAGATGTATAACGATACCGTGAGCAATTCCTGAGCATTAGCGACTGCTATTTGCTGCTTCACTTGTTGCATCAGCTCGTCCCGCTGCGAACCTGTCAAGTTTCCCGTCGCCAAAGCATCCATTCTCTCGAAGTTTTTAAATTATAATTATGGACAATAAAACTAAAGTTTACAAATTTCAGTCGATTATCCACGAGACCACTATCGTGAAACGCGTCCAACCTAACCCTGCCTCGCCGGTCGCGTAAACGAGACCACGTGAAGCAACATTAAAGTCCCGTTTACACGTAACAAAACTCATGTAACTAGACAATCGCGAAACATTATGCTGGATTCACACTGCATCCGACTTTCGTCGTACGACGACTCTACAACCAATCAGAGAAATTGTATCATCTATACGAAGCAAAATCCTGTTTTTTGATTGGTTGCAGAGTCGTCGTACGACGAAAGTCGGATGCAGTGTGAATCCTATATTAAAGCAGGTGTTTATAGTCGATTCTTATAATGTATTTTCGAGAAATGTTTACTTTTACCTCCTCGCCTCTCTTTTTTTTTTTTTGATGAAATTAGGCTTATTTAATGCGTTTTTGCATGAAACAAAAGAATCTGGCAGAAAAAAAGTGTCGCTCTGCTCTGCAAATCAAGATTAATCGTTAAAGTTCACGATTTGCGTCAGCCAATAAAATTGTCTCAATTAGAATAAGGCGTAGTAGCTGATACAATTTGATACGATTTGATTGACGCAAGTTACGCTTACGCAAGTTACGCTGCATGTGAAAGCATCCTTAATTGATTAAAATGATTCTTTTCCGTGAAAAGAAAGGAAGGGAAGAATTATTTTGATTGGTTGATTCGCTTATGAACTACACGTATGATAAAGTCTGTGCTGCAGCCTTAAATGCTTCGAAGCATTTTTCCATTGATCAATATTAATACAATTTTTTCTTCCGATTGAACAATCAAAAGTTTCGAAGCATTTGTAGCGTCAAATGGCCGCTACAACAATACCGCACCCTAAAATTGATCAATTTCCTATCATTGAAATCCTACGTCGACCGTCTACGCTTCTATGTAAACAAGCTTTACACTACTGCATGAAAATTGTATCTTTGTTTGATTCGCCATCTTTGAAATTCAAATTTTCTCGATTAGTACTTTTAAAAAAGATACCCACGATAGCACTTTTAAAAAAGATTTGATTTTAATCAAGCAGAGGTGTTTAAGCATTAAAGAGTTTTAAGAAACGTTTAAAATTGCCGTAAAGTAAATTAGAGCCGGAGTTAAAAAATGGTGAAAAAAGCGAAAACGAAGCTGAAAATTAAAAAGGTAATGATAATTAATTAAATAATTATTTATAAGAGTTGATGAAGAATTTCGCTGAAACTATATTCCACGTTATTTTGGAACATTTTAGAGAAATTGCTAAACTTTTGCTAAAAAATTTTACTGAAAGTGAATTTTTTGCTAATATATTCTAAAATTGAACTTAAATTTTTCTAAATTGTTGCTTAAATTAAACTAAAGTTTTTCTAAAATTCCTAAATTTTGCTAAAAAATATATATATGTTATATAAAAATGTAAAATTCTTCAGTATACCGAATGAGTTATTTAAAACATGCTATCTGAATAACTTGCTCGTTTTTTATGATATAAAAAGTGTTTCTGATAGAAGTAGAACGATTTCGAGAGGTGCGTGTTTTGGTCATGAAAACACATAAATTACGTTTCGCTTTGCACATGATGCGCATATGATGCATTAATATAATTGTCCTTTTTTAACATTTGGTGAGCAACAAAGATAAACGATGCATTATGAAACGGAACGCACCATATGGTTATTTATTTAAAAAATGATTTTTCGTCTACATACTCTTTGAAGCAACTATGTATTTTTTTAATACTAATTAATTTGTCTCATTCTGTTTGTAAAAATACAAGTATAAGATTATAATAAGTTAAATTTACATGATATTTAATATTTTATGTCAACATATGTCAAACTAAAGTATAAATGTATCTTGTAAATTGGTTTTCTGTAAACTATTAGTTTTTTGGTATCTCTATACCTTCATACTTTTATGTATATGCAGAATTGTTAAAAGAATCATATTATGTAAAAAAAAGTCCATATAATTCTATTTAAAAAAGTGGAGGTGATTTTCATATTTTTTTGATACCTCCATCTAGACAAAAAACAATATGACCAAAATACGTCCCTCTCGAAACTGTTCCACTTTTACTTGAAATATTTTTTTGTATCAGTAAAAATGACCGAGTTATTCAGATGACCTGTTTCAAATACCTCACCCTATACATATTTGATTATTGCTTTTGGTTCCTTGTATAGCTAAACGTATAAACTATAACCATTGATGAACTTTACAACAGTTGCGAAGCTTATACTTTTTCTGCTGAATGCAGATCGAATTGTTATATTTGTTATTGGTCAAATGTTAATCAAAGATTTATGGGTGAAAATCACTTATTTATTTCTTGTAGCCATGTAAGAAATTGGAAGATCAGATTCAAAGGAAGCGTAAAATGTTTCTTTGCAAATTACAAGGACTAGAGGAACCTAATGCTAAAAGTCTTGAATCAAATGAGTCAGGTAAGTTCAAGGAGCAGTATTATATATAAATCACTTATGAATATGAATTAGTTTATTTATCCATATTCATGTAATACACCCAGATAGTACACAGTATTTATAAAATATTTATAAAATATTTGTAAATATTTGGAGGATTTATTTTAAATATTTTGTGATGAGAGTGAAAGTGATTATAATATTATAGTATTAAATTTCTATGAGGAATTGGCAATTTGGGAATATAGTGGGCCAATAATATTGAATTAATATAAATTAGTACTAGTAAGATGAATTCTTATGCAAAATCGCATTTCGTATTATTTATATCCTATGCAAAGGAGGATACAACTTTTACTTTTTTGCGATCATTTAAATCATTTAATTTTATTACAATCATTTAAAAACTAATTCAGAGTTAAATCAACAATTCTGAATTAATTTTTAAATGATTGAAACATAACTAACAGCAATTTTGTAACGGTGAGAATAAATTTTATTTACTTTACTTCAATGTATCAATTTTTGTTTGAGTGTAGTGTCATTATTATAATAATTTCAGTTTCTATGAAAAAAGATATATAAGAAAATGTGTAGAGAAAAACAATTCCCTGAAATACGTTAGCTCCGAAAAATTATAAAGTACCTGAAATACTGTATTATAATTATATTTTAAATCGTTTGTACAAGAAGCATTGTTTTATACAGGAAATGCAAGACATCCGTCTTCAGGAAGAGATTCTGTATTTCTTTATTCGAACGTTCACGAAGACAATATGCGCGATAACTACATGTGTTATCGTTGTAAACACTTTTTAGAATTGCCGCGTAATTTGTTGTCTCAGCCATTCAGCAACAGAGAATACGCCTTTATAGAACAATGTAAAGGCGAGTTGAATTTTATTCGGGCTATCGTCTGGTTGAAATCCTCCATCGCCTGTGTTTCTGAAATACCAGTTAAACAATTGCAACAGGTATTTAATGAACAGTGGTACACACACGGTGAATATAATCATTGCGAAGATGAGCGTATAATTGATGTTGAACAATTACGATCTTCTATACATAAGGATCTATCAAGCAAGAATACCAGCATAACATCAACCCCTCTAAATATTTGTAATGATACTTCACAAGATACTTTCGTTACACCTCAAAGAACGATCCGTTACTTACACATCAGATCTAAAGATCCACAAAGTAAACCATTAAACTCCACGTCGGCGAATTTAAATGAATCCATGGAGTCTTTGATATTTGGAAATTCTAATAACTATAATATCGTAGCGAAAGAAAAGGAAAAAAACGCAAAAGCCTACATAATTCCAGAATCGGATGCGGAATCGATTTTAAATGACGATACATTTTATGAACACCAACCGAGATTTGAAGTTGAAAAAGATACAGGATGTTCGATGCAGACCACATCAAAGAATGATATCCAGCGGAAAAACAGAAAAATCGAAAATAAATCTATCTTTCGAAAGAATCGCGCTCCAGATGTATCGAGTAAACATATTTCACTAGCAAAAAATCAATCTATCGATCCGATATTTAAACATAACTATAACGGACAGTTTGATGAAAGGTTCTCATCGAGAAACCAAAATGATATAGTTAATAAGATAGATTATACAGCGAATAAGCTGGAATTCGACAGTAGTCCGAAAATGGACAGTTTGATGAAAGGTTCTCATCGAGAAATGATATAGTTAATAAGATAGATTATACAGCGAATAAGCTGGAATTCGACAGTAGTCCGAAAAATGTTATTATAACTCCAAGAACTTTGTCTCAAATGTCAAATGTTTGGAACGAATACTTCGAATTTTCGCTTGACGGTAATAGTCCTCTTCAAGCTAGCAATATCTCCACAGGAAATTCGCGTACGCAGGACAGCGCATACAGTACATCATGTGTCGATTTATTTAATAGTGATATCGCAGCAGGAACGAGTTCCGGTAATAAACGTGCACCGGATATCGAACGTAATAATGAATTACAACCTTGCAAGAAAAAGATCAGTACGTGTGAGAAAGGGAAGTTGTCCTCTTCGATTGACACGATGTTGTTCGGTGATAGTTCTCAAAATTTTAGAACTAACAAAAATATTCCTCAAATATCAAACGTTTATAATTGCGAATTTCAAAAGTCACCGAGTCTCTTCAGTAGTGACAATGAACGGATAGACGATACTAACTCTAAAAAATTAAAAAATGTATTGGCAGCAGAGTCTATCATCGGCAATAAGTGCACAACGAACATCGAGCATTGTGAACTGCAACGTCGCAACGAGAAAACAGTTACACGCCAAAATGTGGCCTCTTCTCCTTCTGTAATAACAAAAAAAGCTGGAATATCGCACACTGATATCCGGCATCGTTATAATTTGCGATCTAATTCTAATAGCAGAAAGATTAGTTGTAAGAAAGAGGTCTCTTTCGCTAGAAAACACAGACTTAAGAAGTGCAAATCAGAACGAAAGAATGTATCAAAGGAAGAAAATGAAAATAAAGGTGAAATGATTTCTGCCAATTGGTTGAACTTCACTGTAGAATCGCTACGTATGGAACGGGTAATTCTCGCATCAATCAAAGTGATTCTCTCGAAGCTTTGCGATAAGAGAATAGTAGAAGTATACATAAAGAGACAACAGCAGAAGAATACGCGTAATTATTGGAAAGGTAGTTTGGAAGAGCAGGCTGTAAAGGCGGTATTAGATATATCTGATATTTTCACGATAGAAGAGAAGCCCAATATATGCATAAAAGTAATTATGATAGAAATAGTTAAAACTTTGAATGAGATAATGATGTGGCATGAACAATTACGTGGGATATATTGCACTCAGGTATATATTACATATATTACACATTTTTTTATTTACAAATATTACATTGAATAATTATTATATCAAATAATATATAATATATATTATTGACAATTTAAAAACTGCATATATGTGAACAAAATATATAAATACGCATATATATTATGTAGGATACAGCGGGGCTATTCTGTCAGCATTTTAACTTTAAAGTAATACGAAAATTTACGATAACAAACAATATCTCTTTATATTGATTTGGAAGATTTCAGTGAAATTGCTGAAATTGAACTGAAATTTTTGCTAAAGTTTCTTTAAAATTTTGTTAAAAATGAATTTTTCAACAAAAATCACTGAAATTGAAATGAAATTTTTTTGGAATGCTGAAATTTTACTGAAAAGTGTACCAAAATGTGGATTAATTTCAGCAAAATTTTTTCGTACTTATAATTACATTATACAATTATTGCTCCTTGAGAATACAAGCAACCTTTAAATAATCAAAATGTGCTGTTCAGAAACATATTTAGAAATTTATTTAGAAATACAGTATCACAACTATGCAATACAATTATACAAAATTATTTTTGTTTTAGACATCCATGTGGATATATCGCGTACAAATAATTCTGGAGTTTTGTAATTCACTGCCAATGTGCGTCAAGGTGACTGATTACTTGATAACGAAATTAAAATCACTTCAGTTGTTGCTCACCGAAAAGAAAATTAAAAAAAACTGCGTCTTAATAAGACAATTGCATATTGTATTTTATGCATTAAACATCACTCTACGAAAATATCGTACAATTATACTGAGTGATCAAAGATATCGACTTACAGAAAAAGTTATACCTCACGTCGCAGATCTTTGGAAAATGTATTATATTGATAAAGAACTTAAACATGCAGATTTGGATTTGGATACTGCCGAGAAACAATGGTTGAATACTTTAGAAAACAGTGTCGAGGCTTTCGTGAATTTTGGATATGTACAATTTGCCAAGGAGTCGTTTTCATTAGTCCATGTTCTAATTTAGGCGATCGAGGAAAACATAATATTTTTAATATTTAAAGCATTTTACTACATGTTTGCTTCATTATGTTAAATATTAAAAAAACAGTAAATATTTACAATAATGTTAAAATAAATATTATATAAAATATTAAAATAAATATTATATTCTTGCTCTGATACGAAATCGCTTCATTACAATTCGATGAGTCCATCTTTCCTGATAGATCTTCCGTTAAGTTCTCAGTAAACCAGCCACATAGTGATTGTGAATTCCGAGGTATTAAATTGATAGTAGCGTTTATTAAAGTGTTTAGTGGACATATTTCTGTGCAATTAGGTAGCGACAAAACGATTATCATGTCATCTATACCCGTGTAGTAATTAATCTGAAATCATTTCAGTATTTTACATTTGAAATTATTAGTGACAGCTAGAGCATTCTTAGATAACAATAACGAATATCTGAATCAATTAATAGTAAAAAATAAATATACTCTACATACTTTAATAATATAATAAAGAAAAGTTCCCTATTATGAGATATGTTCCTATTGTTCCTAATATGATAATCGAATTTCAGCTAAACTATAATAAGTGTTATACAGGATGAGGTATTTAAAACATCACCTAAACAACTCGCTTGTTTTTGATGAAACAAAAAATGTTTCAGTTGAAAGTGGAACGATAGGGACGTATTTTGGTTGGTCACGTTTTTTGTCTAGGTGGAGGCATCAAAAAGATATGAAGGTCATTTCCCCTTTTTTAAATAAAATCACGAGACCTTTTTTACTTAATATAATTTATTCAACAATTTTGTATATAAAAGTATAAAGATTTAGATATCAAAAAAACCAGTTTTTCTAATTTTTTTAAATTTCACAAAAAAAAGTAAATTTAAATTAGATTTTATTTGTGTATTATGTTTAAATTAGATTTTGCATTTTAGTATCTTAAATTAAAGCTTATTAAATTTCCTTTAAAATGTTACATTTTTAAATGCTACTCTTAGATTTTCGACAATTATAGAAAATGAAATCAGTATCTCACAATAGGGGATTTTCTCTCAAGAAAAAACAAAATGTTACCTTTATTCCGTAAGTATTTGTATCGTTATTAAAGTATAATTCAAATATTAATGCAGCCGCTTCATTAGGAATGTGAGGCGACCAGAGATTAAGATTCTTCAAAACGCCGACGATATTTCTTACGTTGCCGCTGTATAACATCATTTTTTGTTTTTTCGATATATCTCCTATTATATACTTCAGTGAATTACCGATAATTTCCTCTAAAAAGGTTCCGCCATTCAACTGCTTCTGCAGAGGAGTCGTCGAAAGAAGATCATATTCTAATAAAGTGACGTTGTACATTGTACCATCGGGAAACACATTGATTGCCCAATTGGGCAACATATAATTTTGATCCGCCTAATGATTTAATAGTAAATGTTGAAATAAAATCAAGTTCAATAGACAAATATACTAAAAAGTAACATAACGAAATTATTAAACGTAATTAAAATATGTAAATCACGTAACGGATTGTTCGAAATCAATACATAATCTTTTTAAATAACCTAACTTGAAAAGTCACACGATGTTTTTTTTCTTCTATTTCTATTATTTAATTATGTAAAATTCGATAACTATAAAATCATATGATAGATTAAATTATTTCTAATATTATATGATTTAAAAAAAAAAATACGTACTCATTTAGAACAATCCGTTATGTAATTTATTTATTTTAATTACGTTATGATTAAATTAATGATTTAATTGATTTCGTTATATAACTTTGTTGCGTGATTTTTTTTCAGTAAGTTAGGGTTGATAAAAAGAAATACTAAAGTATTCTCGAAAACAGATGTTTTTTTAGCTTATATATTTACCCTCAAGTTTCGAATCAAACTGTATGTTTCACATTATTATTGTTTTGAATAAATTTGATATTTACTGATTTTGATTTTATTGACTCAGGCATATACAAGCATCTATTATTAATTTTTATAGTTATGCATAAAATTATTTACATTGATAGATTATATATAAATATATATATAAATAATTTTAAAAAGTATAGCAACTTTCATTTTCAAAAATCGACGAATTTTTGTAAGAGAAAGAAGAATTTAAAGAGGATCTATTTTTTTAAAGAGATTTTAATGAAATATTATTAAAGAGATAGTATAGAGAGCATTTAGATTTACTAAGAAATTTGATGTATGTATTTTTATATATTTGACTTACCAATGTTTCTAAAGTAGCGTACAAAAGAGCGACGTCCGATGGAGTACTAATGTTTCTCTCCGTGTATTTAGAAAGATGATGGAACAAAGACTGATGTTGTGCTAGCATCTTTTGCGTTTGAATAGTTTGCAATATCTGGTTCATTTGTGAAATAAAATTTGGACACAGAAAACCCAGCATCAATGTGTCCTCCTTTAGTTCCAAGTATTCTGTAAAAATTTATTGATGCAGAGAGTACATCAAATTTAACTCTTACAAAATTTATTTTTTACTTTCTATTGGTTGATTTTTACAAAATTGTTTAACATGATTGTATTGTTTGATTAAATTTGTACTTTATATATCGTATCTATTAGTGTCTCTAGAATACAGAGTCTGCCAATCGGCCCCTAAAAATGATGGACATATCTGTGCGTTAAAACGAGAGAGAGAGGAGAGAGAGGATAAACGACCCGTAAGTTCTTTCTGACACAGATGTTGTAAAGAGTATAAGTAAGTAATGTGATTTTTTCCGTCATTTTTAGGTGGTCTATTCCTGATCTAATAAAGAAAGGTCTATGAGTTTGCCAGACTCTATATTCTAGGAACACTAGTGTCTACTAGTGACGTTTCTAAGATTTGTTGCGCTTGGGTGTAGAGTGTCCCTCCGTCACCCCTTTCCAGAAAACACAGAATATTTATGACAAATATTTATTACTATTTATTTTTTGAAATGTTAAATAAATATTTTATACGTATTTTATTAAAAAATCGGATGGATATGCAGCATTGTTTTATAATAATTCTACATTTAAGTCACCCGCATGAATTGCACCATCACACACCTGTTAGAAACGGCACATGTATACATGATTGATTTGATTTTCATGTAAAAAAATCTTACAAAATATATGTATTTTGAGAAACTACTGATTTAAATGTTAAATATTCATAGAAAGTTTGATTCATATCCCTAATGTTTTATAATCTAATAAGAAATAATTACATTTATGTACTGACCAAATGGTATCGGTTGCCAATTTAAATTTTCATTCCACATCTGATTTTTTGTGGGAGGCCACAAGCCAGCATGAACAAGCTGGGCCGATAAGATCGACAAGGAATGCTCTGTCGTACGTGTCTTCATAATGTCTGACATATATACGTTGCCTAAAAATTCGTCGTATGTCTCGCGCAAATATACCCCTAGATTGTACATGTTGAATTTTCCAGTCTGCAATCAAAAGATATATGATAACGATATTCATAAATCGCGTTCAGCAAAATTTTAGATAATTCGAGGGAAGATGGTACAATAAGGGGAAACATGCCACTTTTATTTATATTCTTATTATAGAATAGTTGTATATTTTTTCTTTGTAGAATTTTCTAGATCCTTCTTACTCTCTATTTGTTTTGAATGTATCTAGGCTAATCTGAATAAATTATCTGATCAAATTATAATATCTATATAGTTAAACTTTTAGATATTTCAACAAAACTTTTTCCTGTGTGTATATTATAGAATTTGAGAATTGTATTATTATTAATATTATTATACGTACTACTGGTATGTTCATCGAAGCAGAAATGAAGGATTCGTACGATAAAGTTTCTGGGATGTTAGTCTCGTTCATTTTTGCGTCTTCCCACGATGCGTACAATTTATGAGCGAACAACTATTGATCACACATCAATAATATTACTATTATATTATATTTCTTAAACGTATATTAATTTACGTTAAAAATGAGATATATATGTACTTACAACATGCACTAATTTTAAATCGGATACAGCTGAACTGGGAAGTATGTAGACGCACAATATGAGCCTGATGTAGACAAAATGTAACTCAGCCATTTTTACGCGTTTTTTTTCGAGAAGTTAAATTTCTTTAGGTTACAGCGTTTTAACACAAACTAGAATATAAGCAACTAGGTCTGAAGAAAAAATAGATTTCATTGAATACAGATGATCATCGTATTATTATCGTATATAAATTTACTTTTGTAAAAAAAGATTGATAAACCCGCTAAGAGTGCGTGCTTCTCGTAAAGAACCATTATTTCTTTATACCACGCTAAATTAAATAAATAATAAAAATATTAACTCTAAAATGACATGTACCATTTGTATAAAAGATTTGATATCAACAACTGGCGCCACTGTTGTTGATATCAAATCTTTTATACGAATGATACAAGTTTTAAATTGTCAGATTTTTTAAACATACGAATGTAAAGTGTTCCTAAGAACAGGCAAATGAGAGTCAACTCGGTTAGTGTTGAATTATAATCCGTTTATTGGTAAATTAAAAATTATGAACGTTCCGACTCTTCTTTGGAGTCATCCTCAGCATACACAATATAAAAATTCCTCCTGATGTGATCGAGAGAATGTCACCATCAAATTAACAGATTTGATGTACAATCCAAAACACACAAGAAAAAGATAAAGATAAAAAACATGTTGAAGCTCTGGATCACAATTCATCCAATGTATATAACGATCACATAAGGAGGAATTTTTATATTGTGTATGCTGAGGATGACTCCAAAGAAGAGTCGAAACGTTCATAATTTTTAATTTACCAATAAACGGATTACAACTTAACACTAACCGAGTTGACTCTCATTTGCCTGTTCTTATAGGAACACTTTACATTCGTTTTTTTAAAGAAGAGAGATCCGTAAGAAGATTACATTTTATTGATTTTTAAACATAGCTACGATTTATAAAATAGAGATTTGTAAAATATTACTCTAAATATGGAGATTGAATAATGATGTATGAATATATATTTAAGTTTTAATTAAATACTCTTTATTAAAGATTGAAAATTATTTTGAATTCCGACCTTGGAGAGTCTAAAGCTTTGGCTTTATCTTAAGTAATTCGTAATTTTTATTATTTTAAATTTTTAAGTATATAAATAAAGAGGAAGAAATGATTTGTCATATTACGTGAGTGCAACTCCAGATAAGAGAAATTTCCTTTATATTACCACATCCGTAAAGACACTGGTCTGCCACGACGCTTCCGAAACCACGACCACTTGTATCCATAGCTAACTGATAAGCACGAATCCGTGTTATCAGGGTATATAACTTTAAATACACGTACTGCCAACAATTCGCGCACTTTTACTTTTTTTATCTGGTTGTTGTCACAAGAGAATTTAATTAGCTAAATCTGATGATGTTTTATATCACTAGTTTATTAATTATTTCGAAAAATCTAGATATTATTTCTTTTATTCACACTCAGAGAAAAAACATATAATGGTGTGAAATATTTAAATGACAATTACATAAATTATATATAAAATCAGTATTCACATCTCACTTTTATCAATAAATGCGTGCGTTTAGCATATAGTTTATATTATACAGGATGTAGAAAACGTCCCGAACTCCTTAAATTTCTTGAAAATTAAATTTCGAATTTTTTTTTAAATTTAGACATGAATTCGATCGAGAGAATGTTGAAATACTTGATACTGAATGTTTTTTAAATAAAAGATCGATGTCGAAATATCTTCGCATCCACGTATAAGAAAATGGTCTTAATTTACGGTAAAATACAGATGATTTGCACAACACATATTTTAAAAATTTTACACGACATAAAATATTGATTTATATAAATAAGTATTTGTTGATTTCAAGTTTTAACTCTCATATTTGTTATTGTTTACCCCTTTTTGTTTCTTGTAATATATTCGTGGTTAATTGATTTGTTTTTTACAATTAAAATATCATTAGTTATTTTTATGACACTGTTTTAAGATATCTTAATACCTTATAATACATATACGAATTGCAAATTACAATAGCCTTTTACAATGACATCTAATAATTCTTGATGCTTGCATATTCCAAAGTTTTATGACATATTCTCTGGTTGTAGAGGTGTCCTCCCTTTTTGTTTTGTCATTTGTGAACCAGATTTTACCACTATTCAGATTTTAATTATTTAACAGAGTTTTTTATAAATCATCAAATCTATAAATTTGTTGATTGCAACAATCAGGAACGAACTAACAGATTTATATTAGCTGAAAAGGACTCCAAAGTGAGTCAAAACGTTCTACATTTTATGAATATTATGAAGGAGAAGTAAAAAAATTTCAAGCGATTTTGTTGCATACTTATATTTCATGTTGAACTTTCTCTCATTCGCCCTATCACACATTATTAAATACTTTTTGAGTATTGAGAATCCGTAATTAAGATTACATTATTTAATTAGCTTAAAAATTAAGCATTTCTGAGAAGAATGTTTCATACAAAAGTTGTAGGGTTGAAAGTGATCTATTTACTGAACTTATCAATTTGACCTCGGGTGGCACTATCAAAATCAAATCAAGATTCAATTGATTTTTTTAAATAAAATATATTTTTTATTGTAAAATCTAATAGCTATTTAAAACAATAATAAAGCCTCTTTTTAATCACTTTTCGAGTTACAACACTTGAAAGTTAGGTACAATACCGCCCGCATTAACACTATCTAAAGTCTAAGATATATTGCCTAAACGGATTTATAAGTCGTGTATGTGCACGCGTTTCTATGTGTGTCCCTATCTCCTCGTCTTTCCTTATTTTTCCCTCCCACACAATATCTTTGATTACAAAGTATTTACTTAAAATATTAATGCTAACTGAACAGGGACGTATATTTCTTTTAATTGTGCAAGGATGGGATAAGGTTTTACACACAAGTGGCAAAACTGTTCAATATTGATAAAAAATAAAGACAATGATATATTTAAATCAACGTCATTTATTTGAATATTTGTCATTTGTTTAACCCTTAGCTAGCACACTTCTCTAGATTCGCATAGCTGGCACAGTGGGGTGTCTGGTACCCCAACCATAAAATCGTTTGCCGCGAGTAGGCATTTGATATTTTGACTTGATAAAAATTCAGGATATTCTTGAAATGTTACTTTAACAAGTGCCAAAGGTTATTTTAGTAAAATTTAATTTTAACAGACGGCATGACTACAAGTCCCATTTTCTAACAATAAGGAGTCTTAATTTAGAGTTGAAATACGGTGGGGCGTTTAATATCTCACGGTGCCAGTCAAAGGTTATCTTTATAGCTCGCCATACCTATTTTTAGCATTTCGTGCAAGCGTCAAGATATAGCGGCGCAAAGTTTTTTTATATTAAAATTATAATAAAAAATTATATTTAAAAAAAATTTTTCAGCAATAAGAATTATTTCCAGATTTAGTATTTTCAGATTATTAGAATTGCGTTTCAAGACCGACGATTGTTTGGCGCGCAGTTTGGGAAGACTACGTATATTAGTTAATTATTAATTTGTTTTAATTCGTGATAGTACCGCGGTAGTTTATATGTAAGCAATTAAAAATCCAAGCTAGACTGTTATAGGCTTCGTGTTTGTATTAGTTATGTTCTTACATTAACGGTCTTTAGTATCGAGAATATTGTTAAATTAAAAATTTTTTTAAAAAAGTTAAAAGATCTTTGAATGAGATAAAAATATGTATTTGGGTTTTATTTTTCAAAAACATTACTTGGGTTGGAATTAAAAAGATTTTTGAATGAGAACACAAAAGTTTCATATATTTGATAGTTTAATGTTTTAAATTGTATTTTCGGTTTATATTATTTATAATAAATGGCGAAATTAAAAGAAAATCGTTTATTCTAATACAACTCAAGCAACAACGGATACTTTACTTATAATGCATGCAGCACAAAGGTGATACCTATTGGCGAAAACAAAAATTCAGAGTATATCTTTACTCGACTGTGGGTAAACCTTGCTACGCTCTCATTAGATAGACTATAGTGGAAAGTATGCCTCGGAGGTACCAGTCTATTATAGACGCAGCTGATGACTGGACTCCTTATTAATATAACTGCATTTTAGCCATAATTCTACTGAATACAATCAATATAAAGGCTAATTGCTAATTTTAATGTATTTTGTTTTTGTTGGCGTACTGACTATTATATTTCAATTTACGTGTTTACATCTGTGGACTTGGTGTGGGAATTATGTCCGCTGTGATGGTCATTAAATTTTATCTTCGTGACATCTTTAAAGTCAAGGAGCTTCTTATCGCCTGGTCTCCGACGATTCCTTAATTAATATTCTAGAATTTTATATCTGATGAGACTCGAAAAAGAGTCGAAACGTTATAATTTGGAGAATTAAGTTATATTATCAGAACGTTAAGAGAATAAAATTGTATTATCAGAACTCTGCGCTTCAATAATCGTGCTTGATTCATATTCGCTATTTTATCTCATATTCATTTTTTTAATATTTTTGTTGTCTACACTATTATACACTATATGGATTCTTATTGATTTTACATCCAACTTATTGATGTTATCCAACTTTTCTAAATTAGGTTTTAATTAAAGTACAACTGACAGCGATTTCGTAACGGTATGAATAAGGATTTTTTAACTATATTTCACACACATTTACGCACATAATATTCCAATTTTTCCTTAAATGTATAATGTCAGTATTGTGATAATTTTCGGTGCTGTGAAGAAAAATATATAAAATATAAAAATAAAACGAACGGTCGTAAAAAAAAGTTATACGCTCCTTTACCACACACGTGTTTTTGCTACTGCAATTAATCTTTTCCGATAGCGATGTTGTATGATTTTAAATATATTACATGGCAATGTTGTCACGATATTTCGATACAATAATACAAAACGGACGTTTTAACGTTATCAGATCTTACAGTAATGGTGAAGCAGTTTTTCGCAACAAACATTGCAACATTGTAATGTTTCAATGAACATTATTTTGCAATATGACTGTTCTATATCTGTTAACTATATAAGCTGTAACTATACTGTGCTGTATAGCTAATGTTCTTATTTTTATGTATGACGTGTATAAACGCAATTGGTCGGTCATTACATTCATAGCTCGTAGTAATTATCTCCTACTTACGGTGCATTTTCATACGGAGGACGCGTATTATCTCAAAATTATTTTTTTACTGCGTTTGCGACCTAGTTTAACAGCTGGGAAATACATTGTGTATTTTGTAAATATATCACGTAAGTTTCTGAATATTTTTTAAAGACATTTCTTTTACATACATTTAAAAATGCTAAAAATATCCATTAATATACAATCATATTATACTACATGATTGATATCATTTTTTGGTATGTTTTATATGTCTCTCATTATTCGATATTCCTTTTTTTTTCAATACTGCATCAATCTTTAAAAGTAACACTTAGTTTCTTTTGGACCTACAAGGACTTGATATCCTTGAGTAAACAGTTAAAAACAAGATTCTCAGAATATCCCAAACACATAAATTAGAACACACGATCTGTCATAACAGAACATATGGTAGATTATGATCTGATTTTCATTGGGACAACATTAAAATTTTAGACAAAGAACCTTGTTGTAGAAAACATTTAATTTCAGAGATGCTAAAAAACAGACAGTCTTAATTTATAAACTAATACAGGTTTTCATAAAGCTTATATATCGGTAATAAACATAATATGACTTTGCAGTAGCAAGTAATTTGTCATTTTCTCACAGCCATAGTGTTGATCCGCCGAAACAGTTATATACATATAATTTACCTCTTGACATAAAAACTTTGACGAAACAGATTTATTTTATTTATAATTGTATTTTAAATTAAAACTAATTTGTCGAACAATTTCTATATATTTGTGTTACACAACTATATAGCGCTTGTTGGTGAGTAGAGTTATTGATTTTTTATCAGAATAATGGTATTGCTTGTTTATTTTTAGTTTTTACTACATGTTATTTTTACTACATGTACTATTTCTCTATAGAACATCGAGGAATTATTTATATACGATCTTTCAATCATTTTCAAGCAGTTTCGGGTTCTTCATGAGAAGCTCACCAGACCACATACAACAAAATTATAATCCATATACAATACTTTGCGTTTCGATAACTCATACTCGTTACTGCGAATCCAACTAATTGTCTGAAGAAGGCTCAATCTGATAGCCGAAATATATAACACATAATTTTTTGTCAAATTATATATTTAATTACAATTCCTCTAGTCTTCAATGTGAATTGTTTTTATAATGTTTTATTATCAAATAGAATCGACTCTTACATACACCTTTTTATTGTTTATATAATTGTTGATAAAAAGTCCTCGTATTGAATTATTTATTTTTAATTTGATATACTTCTTGTTTGCTTTTACTTTCCACCCGATTTTAAATCTTATCTTTACAACATCTATTTAATAGTATATTTTATCATTCAATCTTTGAATGATTAGTTTTAATATTGATTTATTGTATCTCTTTATAAACATCATTGTACTCCGATATAAACTTTGTATATTATATAGCGAGAACATTTTACCTGTGCATTCCAACTTTTTATATTATAGCGAATGATCATTTAATATTTTTTATCTTTTTGACTGTTATTTTTGCGACTCTTGTGAATGTACACTAAGGTTCGTAAATTCAGTTTGCAATTTTTTCATATTTTACGTAAACTTTAATATCTCGATGATTAGAAATTGGAGAGAAGTTTATGCATTTTAAAAAGGAAAAATGTTCAAACTGGCGTTTGAATTTTGTCTTTGTGAGACTTTGCTCTTAAATTATATAAAATTCAAAATGAATACTTTTTTAATATTTTTGTTATTTTTTGAAGCGCTTATCTGGATAGAACGTAATAGATTTTACAAACTTTAAAATGTTTTTAGAAAAAAATTTATTATTATGATTTTTTGTAAAAATATTAATTTTTTTATTGTATAAAACTTTGACCCAATTTTAGAAAATGTATTGATAGTGAAAAAAAGTTTGAAAACATTTTTTTTTAATTTACTTGAATTGAAAGCACATATAATAATAAATATTTTTTCTTTCTGTTTTTTTGTAAACTTCTTAGTTTCGAAGCTAAAAAATATTTTATAAAGGTTAAATTTTGCGTAATAAAATTTTACATAATAAAAATTTTTTTAAAAAAGCATTGCAACCTTTTTTCAAAAGCATTTTGAAGCTTAGTAAGTCTATTTTAAAATACTGGTCTGTTAAATTTTGTTCAATCCAAACGTTCCATCTAAATAGACCGCTTCAAAAAGTAACAAATATATTGAAAAAATATTATTTTTCAATTTTATATAATTTAGAAGAGTAAAATATTACGGAGACAAAATTTAAACACGAGTTTAAAACTCTATTCTTCTTTAAAATGTATTTAAAAAATATCTTTTTTGATACTTTACGTTTAATATTTGGCGAAAACGAAAAAGGAAGTTCTAGTATAATCTGGTGCAGGAATAAAGAAAAATAGTTTTGAGATTATTCGGTTTTTCATCACTGTGTACTACTAATATGACTACATATTTTACTCTTCTCATTTTGGTTTTTACCATTGGAATTCATGTATGTATATTATTGAACAATTTAAGCAGTACAATTTCCGTTGAAAATGGTTCGAAAATGAGTTAAAACGTCTGGGTAATAATATTAAGATGCCATGCTAATAATGTTAAAAATATTTACAGATTTGAATCATGTTATTTAATAATTATGTAAATTAATAAAAATTAATCAATAAAATTGATCAAGTTAATCTAATAAATTAGATACATGCAACCGCTGGATAATAATCTTGGAGCAACTGTGCTTGAAATTACTGCTTCATCACATATAAGTATAGTTAACAACTTAAATTATATTAAGAATTTTAATTTAACAATCGTTGCTCCAAGATTATTATTCAGTGGTTGCACGTATTTAATTTATTAGATAAATTTATCAGATTTTATTAATCAATATAATTTTTATTAATTTATATAACTATTAAATGACGTGATTCAAATTTGTTGAAAACATTTTTTTAATATTATTAATATGAAATTTCAATATTGTTATGTGTATTGTTGCGTAAATAACGTATATTTTTTATGCAATTTTCACATTTTTAAACATATACATATCTAATGAACAAAATCATGAATTGTGATTATATAACATCAATTGCATTTTATTACATTCTTCACATAAACAAAGGAATTTGAAAAGAAAATTATATAAATGCTGCTATTATGCGTTAAGTACATACGTATTTCATACGTATTATATAATATTAAATAATTATTTTTCTTGACGTGATAAAAAATGCTAGTGTTACATAATATATTTGTACATTTATAAAATTTATAAATTTTTTAATTCTACTTAAGAAAAAAAATTTTTTTGCGATGTTAATTACATTTTATTTAACTGGATATATATTTTTTACTTAATCCGCGATATTTTAAGAACGATGTAATATAATTATGTAAGAATATTAAATTCTGACGAACGTATTCCATTTATTAAACATTCACAAGATATTTGTGAGATTTCCTCGTAATGCGTAGCGACTCATTCAATTCTTGACGTATCTAGGTATTTCCTCCTAATAAATTCCCCTATTAAATTGCAACGGAACAATATTCAGCGGCAAATCCTGCAGTCTCTCGTAAATCCCCGTCACGTTTTTGTCACGCAAAATATATAATTAAATGAACTAAAATGTGACTAATAATATTACTGTGTAAAAAATATTGGATTGTCAAAAGTAAATTTTGTTAATTAAAGTGATATTACGTGATTGTAGAAAAGTGAACCGTGAAATAAACTTCTCCTCACATTAAGTTTATTTATTTGCATCGTGACGTCCTGATGTCCGATAAAATGGCTTGGACAGGAAATGTAACGTAGTGGGGTGTACGGTCTTACACCTTAAAAGCCTTAAGTGTTGTGAGAAAAAGTCAGTATTCAGTTGATACTTACAATCGGCGGTAGTTCGACAGATTTTTCCGATTCGGGTTTGACGACAGATGCCATCTGAAACGCTAAAAATAATAATCTAACTCAGAAAAAAGACGATGCAATCATAAATATATAAGTAACGTCAATTCTATAATCAGTTCTATAGTTTTTCAAATATTTTAATATAACTGCAATTATTGTTGTATCAAATTACGTACTGGATTGAGAGTAAGTCAACTTTCTTAAAATTAAGTCAAGTAACAACCTTAAAAATTTAATTTAGTTAATAATGCAAGTTAATTTATAATAAATGTAATTAAATTAAAAGTTAAGTTAATAACAAAAATTAGAAGAAGAAGTCTTAATAAGAAGTTTTAAAAGTTAAATTTGTTTAATTATACAAAAAAAATTTTTTAGTTAAATAGAGTATGAATCATGTAATCATTCATTTAACGAAACTAGCAATTGTTTGTAAATTCTTTTCAAAAGTGTCGCCCTTCTAAACTTGCCGACCATATGCAGTGCATACACATTAGCTTCAGTATTAATGTTAGTAAGGAACTGATATGACCGGTAACAAATAAAAACTCAATTTTCATTCATGTGTGACATGTGTGACATCGTAGTCACGAAAAGCAAGTTGCGCATAGTCTTGTGACGATTTCATTTATGCCACATAACTAAAAGTTTAGTTTACATTGCATGCACTTAATACCGAGTATTAACTAATAATGACTTTCTATTGAATTATTTTAATTTCGGTGATACGTGTAAACATATTATCTGAAATAATTATTGGATTTAACGAACTCACCTGTGAAGTTCAATCCTGATTATGCCCGTGGTCTCGTCCGGATGGACATAACTATGTAATTGTGCAGGGGCACAACTACATAGTTATGTCCATCCGGACGAGACATAATTTACATTTATCGTGATGTCATAAGCGAGAAATGGCATGTTCATTTTTGTTGCGTCCCATTTTTCAATAAAGACAATTTGGATAAACCTTAATGAGATGGCTCTACAACATTTGTAAGAACGGGTAGATACTATACTTTCCTCCCTTGATAGTCAGTAATTGTAAAAGCACGTATAAAGTAAGCCTATATTCAGCAAGAAACATGCGGTTTAACAGCTGTCGAAACAAGTGAAAAATACGCTTTTACGTACGAAATTCCAAGATAAGTGTAGTGTCTGCCCATTTTTAGGACTTTCATAAGTACGAGATAGTCATATTTTCACAATTAAGCATATAATATGAAAATGGTACACAATACAAAATTTCGTTGTCAAAACGCCACTTTTCACACCTATTAGTTTAGCCTTTTATCGTGGCGAGGCGTTATAAGACAAACAAGCACGAGCCCATGTTCGTGTGCTCGTCTTCGGCTCGAAAATGAGCATACATGCTCGTACTTTGTTTTTTTAATCGGGGAAATATTCGTTTTCGTCGTTTGTAATTTAAACTTGAATATATTTTTATAATTACGTACAATTAAATAACTGCGTTCGATTCTCATGAGCCCAATCATTATGATTTTAATATGTCGTTTAACATTATTAGGATCAATCTAAGATGCGTATAGAGCATAAAAAAAAGTTTGCCAATTTAACTCGTGTTGTTACTGTGGTAGTTTAGTACTTTTAAGACCGAAAAATTGTTTCGGCGCGCAGTTTAAAGAATTACGTACATAATACTTCACTTGAAATTATACAATCACCTAAGATCTAGTTACACTTTAAAGACTTTACTAATTGATATTTATAAATATTAGCAAACCTATAACTGTTAGTCTAATAAGATTGCATTTTCAGATTAACTACCAACAACATGGTCTCGTGTCATAATTTTAATAATTATCTATCAATTGCTACTATTAGTTTAAATACAATTCTGATCGCAGCTGGGCATTCTGAGCTTAAAATAATTAATGTGGTAAGTGTGTACTTATTAGATAATATTATTTTTGATCATTTAAGCATCAAAAATTTATTTTTCTACGTCAAATCACTGCTTTAAGGCGCTACTTTGGCGGGAAATTGTCACGCCTAACAACTCTGCATAATTTATATGAATACTAGCCTATATGTTATTCCAAAACAACTATACTATTTCAATGATTCTTTTCATTTACACTTTGTAGGTATTTAGACATGGTGATCGAACACCCGATAATAATGGTCGCGAAATGTTTCCAAATGATCCGTATGTAAATTATTCCTTCTATCCAACGGGCCTTGGACAATTGACAATAGTAAGTATCACATAATATCATTTGTAATGTATAAGAATACGAGGATTGCTATTTATGTATCCGGAGAATAATTAACAAAAACAAATATTTATCATTTAAATGGTTTTATTGTTTTTCAAAATATTCTTCGCGATGATCAATAGATTTTTGCATACGTTTGAACGAATTTTCATAGCACTTTTGATTGAGGTATCGCTGCTATTAAAGTATTCTTCTAGATCTAAGATCTAATTGAATAGTAAAAGGATTTTATGTAGAGATGATTAAATATTCTTATAAATTCTTTATTAATTTTTTGAGTTTAATTGAATATTATTTAACAATTGATCAAACTTATAATCCTTTACAGGAGGGCAAGAAACACGAATACAGATTGGGCAAATTTTTGCGCTCTAGATATAATGACTTTCTTGGCAGTTTGTATACGCCAAAAATTCTTATAGCTCGTAGTTCGGATTATGAGAGAACGAAAATGTCTCTACAACTTGTTCTCGCTAGTTTGTTCCCACCAAAAAGTGTACAACGATGGAATCCTCTTTTAAATTGGCAACCAATCCCGACATTGTATGCTCCACGTGTCGATGACAATATTATTCTTGCCGACGAGTGTCCACAGTAAGTATAATAGGAAAACAGATAAAACGGGCAATAAATAAGAATTTAAATAACATTAATGTCTTTTGTTAACCATTCAATTATATGTATAATTATAATAATTATAGCTATATATGATTATATAAGAATATAGTTACAGAATAATTTTAAAAAAGATATATTTTGATATTAATTTTTTAGATTTATTTAAAAAACTAATATAGAAAATAGTAACTTGATTTACATTTTAAAACATTTCCAGATACCTCGAGGAATACAATCGAATAGTGAACTCGCCTGAAGGGCAAGAAAAGATCGGCCAATTCAAGGATTTGATGGGCAACTTAACAAAATTAACCAACAAGAAAATAGAGACGGTAGAGGACCTTTACTTTCTTTATCACACTTTCGTAGCCGAATCTTCTTTAGGCTTGATCCTTCCTGAATGGGCATATGACTATTTTCCTTATGGTCCATTATTTGACGGAATTGTAGCTGCATATAATATTAGTAACTTTACTCCTTTAATAAGAAGGTTATTCGCTGGTAAGTTATGTTTATCTTGATAAAAAAAAAAATTTATTTAGTAATATATAAATTAACAATTATTAAAAATGTAAATTGATAATTATACAAAGTATGGCAGGAACTTTGCAATAAATTTTGTAAAATTGAAAATATCGGCAAACAGTAAAAGTCTTTTACAGTAAAAACGTACTTCGTTTGAAAAAGCTGCCAATAACGCATAGTAATGGCATTACAATTCAACAAATTGACCTTTTTTGAAATTAAATAATTTTAAAATTAATCCAAAAAACACAAAGCCGTTTAAAAGATGATTAAATTGTTATAAAGATATTTCTTAGTGAAAAAATATACTTAGTGTCGATGAAAAGATAACTAAAAGATGATGCCGCACTGCTAGTCATCTTCATACACTTACAAGTATGGTAACTAAAAGATGATTTCTTGTAGATACATTTTCATCGTTTTGAAGACTTTCTTTAGTTTTTTATATTTTGGCACACATAACGTTTAATAATATTAAATTCATGAATTAATTTTTACACAAAACTAAAAGAAATTTGCGATCGCGTGTACTTGTTTGTATATGTTATACATACATCGTCTGCTTGCGACCGCATGCACATATACCGACCTGTAAATAGCGATCTATTGTTGTAGCAACCCGTGTCTATCATCAGGAGGTAGATAAATCCTGTACCCATTATAATTGTGATTGGAATAAATAGTTCTGTTTGTGAACGATTTGGTGTCTCACGCTTTCTTAAGCCTTGGCACCAACGAGCAAATTCCGGCAAGAAAAGCGTACATCACATAATTATTATTAACTTTTACATTGTTTCAGGTCCAATGATCCGTGCCATGACGGACAATATGATAGCTGCACAAAATCCGAATATTGCGTTGAATACAAAGATTTATTTATACAGTGGTCATGAAACCAATGTTGCAAGTATGTTGCACGCGTTTGGTGTGTATAAGCCGCATGTACCTGAATATTCTAGCGCAGTTATTTTGGAATTGCAACAGATTGAACAAGAGTACTATGTGAAAGTAAATGTTTTTATCATATACACATAAGTATATAGGATGATTTGATCCAGAATGACGACCAAATATTTCGTATGCTGAAAAAGTAGACTAAATTGATTGAAAAATTTTCTATCATTTTGCAATTTCCACAATATATTTAATATTTAGTATTAATTATTTATATTAATTATGAAAAATCGCCGAATATATTGCGGTTTTTATATTTTCAATAACTTTTGTTCAAGTATTATCAATTTTACAGAAACATAGCAAAAGATAAAAATTATTTATTTTCTTGTCATAAAATTTTTTTTAGAATTCTTTATCAACTGTTTAGTACTGCTTTTTCTTATTAGGAACTATTTTTATCAATACAAGAAAATACGAAAATACTAAAAAATTTTGAAAAAATTATTAAAACTATGAGATATCATATAAATAAACAATTTTTGTCACTTTTGCTGCTTTTCTGTAAAATTGGTAGTACTTAAATACAAAATTATTGAAAACCAATATATTCGGCGATACTTAATAATTAATATCTTGTTAGCTATTGCGAAAAATGCAAAATGGTAAAGGACTTTTCGATTTAGTTTAGTCCGCTTTGCTTTATCAGCACACGAAGTATTTGACGATCATTCTGGGATATCCTGTATGTGTCATTCTAATAATAATAGAAGAAATAATACATATAATTAAATATCGTATATTATATAAAAAATTGTTTTAGCTTGTGTATTATCGAGGCATTCCACCAACTGCCAAAGACCTTAAAATCCCAGGTTGTGATATACTGTGTCCTTTTGATACGTATTTGGATTTAATTAACGACTTGATCCCATCTGACGAAGAGATGATTTGCGACAAAAGACAGACTCCCAGTTACGCTGGCACGGAATATCCTGCTGGTTTGCAGAATGTTTTGGAGAATTTAATTAAAAGATCAGCAATTAAGGAGAGCACTTAGTGATAAAGTATATGCCATGATAATTGACATAATTATATGCACTCTGCCATAAATATTGCGATAAGACTTTTTTTCATGGAATCATTTGTTTTCATGTTATTTATTTAATCGCTATTAAATATGTATCAGTATTTATATCCCTTCAGACCGTACAATTTTTATCTGAAACATTTTTCTGTATGTTTTATATTTTCCGAGATATTCTATTGTTTTCAAATTTTCACCTTGTATAAAAAATATGTCCATATATATACATCCTTATCCACATCTAATAATAAAAAACAAGTTTTCCGAATCCATATTCTCTTTTGAATATTAATAATTGCTTTATTTAAAATGTTAACCGAATAAGTTGTTTTTCGGTTTGTAGAGGTTTGCAAATTTGATTTCTTGAATTTTGACGAATATATATATAGTACATACACTATACACGTATATGTGATTCCGGTCTGCATGAGTTCATTTCCTTATGTCTCATGGTGCGGAAAAATGCAGAAGCGTAATCTAGGCAAGCCAATGATATAACTGTTCCCATAAATACAACAAACAGATCTATGGGAAAAATCTCTTGGCACACGCTAATTACGCTTCCACGAGTTTCGTTCTATGGGATGACATAAGAAATAAAGACATGTTGAGCGCAATTGACGGAATGTTTGCGATTGAACAGATACTTTTCCGCCAATTCCAGAACCTTCATTACTTCTGATTACAATTTCAAGATAACGTTATAATCATTTTTTACAAAACCATTTTAAATATAAAAAAATCACTTTTATACATTAATTCGAAATTTTTTCGAAAACTTGACGTGCTAATGAAATTTAATATCAAATCTTATTAAACCGTGAGAGTTTTTAAACTAAATACCCATGAGAACAAGCCGTGGTCAAGCTGGATCTTGAATGCTTTTTATATAATTTCGTGTGAATTTATATACTATATGTATGCAAATCCCTAAATGCGTGCTGAAATTTTTTTTAGACCTACAACGTAACTAATAAACTACCGCAGTACTATCACGAATTAAATTGACTAACAATCTAACAATATTATTTAATGCTCATTGCATCTTGGATCTTAATAATATGTTGAATGACATATTAAAATCTATGAATGGCATATTAAAAATCTGTAAATAATTAAGTCGAACCCGAATCGCCTGCTTTACGCGCAAGTGTCCTAGTCAGTTAAACTACCGAGGCCTTAGCAAATTAAATGAAATTTAATTTGTGACATCGTTTTCAGCATCAAAAAATCTATAAGAAACACTTTATCTGATTAAAAGAAACATTTTTTTGTAAATTAATATTACAGTGTGTTAATATTATCTTTGTTCATAGTTTGTTCATGTAGTACCAAATCCATTTATCAACCCATTTTATTGATAATGTGATACGTAGTTCACATCATTTTAAAGGTATAGCCTTAAATTTATAGTATATTACGATTAAAAATGGAGCCAGATAAAGAACATATTCGCCACTGCCTTTTGTTTTGTTTTTACCAAAAGAAAAGTGCTGCTGATGCACACAGAATTATTTGTGACACATCGTGAAAATATTATTATAGTCATTAGGCGAATTGGTTTAAACGATTTAAAGACTGTGATCAATATCACCCAAGGAGAACGAGACAAACAAAATAATGTCAATATGACGTTAAATTGACATTATTTTGATTGTTTCAACACAATTGGGAGTTGATCATTCAACAATTGTTCGCTTAGTTTAAATGCAATGGGAAAAATCCAGAAGTATGGAAAGTAAGTGCTACATGAATTATCCGGACTTGCAATGCCAGGCCATATATTGCTAAAGAGACCAAGGAAGTTTCGTTAAAATTAGAATGGGATGTTTTCCCGCATCCAGCTTACTCACCAGACGTTGCCCCTTCTGTTCATTATTATAGTTTAGATCGATACAACACGGCTAGTGAGAGCATCTCAAATGCCGATATACGAAAATGGGTCGTCGATCAATGGATCGTCTCAAAAGATAATTCCTTTTTTTGACGTGACATCCGTATGCTGCCGGAAAAATGGAAAAAGTCATGGAAAATGATGGGAAATATATAATGTACCGATAATTTTATTGTAATAAAAGAATTGTAAAAAATTTGCAAGAACTTTTGTGCACTGACGTAATATAATTTATTAAAAGCATTTTTTTTTTAATTTTTTTTATTCTTTATTTCTTTCAATGCAACTTTATACATATATTTATTTTACGTTAATAAGCTATTTCTTTATTACAGTGAAAAGAGCGTAATATTTTAAGTATGTTTTTACCTCTGTTTACATAAAGCTTATTTTTATCAGTTTATCGTTGTCATGACATTTATCGTTCTTGAGGTAGAATTAACTATAAATCTAATGGCATTATTACTCTTTCAGATTAGGTGCTGACAACATGGTCTCACTTCACATATTCGAAAATCATTATTTGTCGATCAGTCTAGTCATCGGCTTAAACGTTATTCTATTAACAGTTGCACAACCGGAGCTTAAGTTAGTTAATGTGGTAAGTTTAATTAAATATCTGTATTGTTGACGACTTATCGAGCATAATATAAACATTACACCAAATTATTGGTAAGAAAGTTCTCACACTTTTATTTATCAGAAATTTTTGTTTTATAATTTTAAACATTTTTATAAAAAAAATATCTTAAATTATCTTCCTTAAAGTATTCTAAGTTTATACACACTTCTTAAAAATATCTTAGATTTTATGAGTTTTCTTTGAAAATTATACAATGAGAAATTATGTAATTAAAATATTTCAGAATTTATTTAATATATCTATGTATGAAGAATATAGAAGTGATATGGAATTTCTAAAAAGTATTACAATTCATATAAAAATATGAAAAAAGTTGTAAAATTACAAAAAAAATTTGAATAGTTCTAAAATTTGCATGAACAATTCTATATAAAAAATTTTACTGAAATTAATAGACTAGATTTATAATTGTTTCATTATACTAATTATACTTTGGACGAAAAAATTTGACTTCGTTTTTACAAATCTGAATAATAATTTCTGATGTATTTTTGTCTGTAAAACATAAATCCGTTGGTCAAATTTAATTATCACGTCACACTTTTGATAAAACTGAAGTTGCAAAAACTAAAAGCAATTTTGAAGGTTTTTATGATAATGTAATATATGTATGTATATCAGTAGCAAATGTTCTAAATTTCGTTAATGCCATGCAAAGATTTCAACTTTTAACTTAGAATTTTTTGTTTTTTTTTTATTATAATTACGATTTAATTACAATACAATTTCATGTTAGATTGCATCGTGCAATCTTGTAAATTATTGATAATTCTGTGTACTGAAAAGAAAATATCTTGATTCTGAAAAGTTTATCCATACAGCAGAAATGTTTGAAATACATCATAGGGATATCCTGAAGATATCACTCCAGCCATAAATGATAATGGAATTGACGTTGATTTAACGTCGAAATTATCAAATTGATGTTGAATCGACATCGATTCCATCATTTCTGATTGCGACATATCCCAAATATATCTTTAGGATATTCCTATGATGTATTTAGGACACATCTGCTGTGTGGATAATTGATTTTAAAAAAATAATTCTTTTAATACTTGCAGAGAGAGAAAGAGAGAGAGAGAGAGAGAGAGAGAGAGAGAGAGAGAGAGAGAGAGAGAGAGAGAGATAAAAATAGAGAGAGAGAGAGAGAGAGGAAAAAGACTTTCTTTATTTACATAATACTTTATTTAAATTCATTTGGCCAACAGAGATTCGTGTTAATCAAGCAAAAATATATCGAAAACGACTATATAATTCATATTTGTTTTGAAAAATGATGTTGGATCGATGTAGTATTACTGTTATGCAGGTATTTAGACATGGCGATCGGACACCTGACAATGGATATGAAATGTATCCAAATGATCCGTATTTAAATTACTCTTTCTATCCAGAAGGCTTAGGACAGTTGACCATTGTAAGTATTAAGTGTAACGTTGCATTTTTTCATGTTCCTGCAAAAGAAGACAGTTTAGAAAATTAAAACAAATTAAATTAAATTAATTCCTGCAGAATTAAATGGCTAAATTTTATTATACAATATTATAAATATTATACAATATCATAAATCAATTATAAATAATAAAATATTTTGGATATTATATAAGTTGGTATACTCGATGAGAACATAAGTAATAGATTAATTCTAATACTGATGTACTTTGCTTTAATTAAAAAATAAAATAAAATTTGAATTAAATTTTACATAACACTATCTTAAAGCTTATTAAATTCTCTTCAAAATGACCTATTATTTTTTTTAATTCTACCAATAAACATTTAGTAATTACACAAAATGAACTCGGTATCTCATAATAGGGGCCTTTCCTCAAATTGAGTTATTTAAATATATGCTTCAATATAGTAGTATCAATGTAATTGTAAATTTAATACATTTTAATAATCAAAATCAATCTATGATATAATTTTCCGAATTTACTTAAGGAACATTTCGCCGATAATCTTGATTTTGATATGAATTGTATTAAATTTACATACTTATGTCAAGATGAAAGTCGTTGAAGTTTGTCCGTCCAAAATCAAAGTTTTTATTGCTAAAATTACTCTTTAACTCTAAATATCTCAGAAACTAGACTGTCACCTAGTTGTGAAAATAAATTCCAGAATCATGATGTTGACAGCATTTGTCAAAGTCAAGGTTATCGACAAGGTGTTCTTTAATGTAAATAATTATCTAATGTTCTAGACGGGGAAGATGCGCCAATATAAATTAGGACAAATTTTGCACAGCAGATACAAAGAATTTTTAGGAGATTTATATCTGCCAAAACTCGTTGTAGCTCACAGTTCAGATTATGATAGAACGAAGATGTCTCTCCAATTGGTTCTTGCTGCCTTGTTTCCGTCAAATGTTCGACAACAGTGGAATCCTGTATTAAATTGGCAACCGATTCCAACGTCGTATGTGACACGTGTTAACGATAATTTCTTCTTGCCTGACGAGTGTCCACAGTAAGCATGACTGATTTTAAGAATGAAACAAAAAATACTATGGACAAGAAATCATTGATTGCACGGAATTGATACTTTGACTTAAATTATTTGACATATACATAGTTAGAAATATATTAGAAACAAAGACGTTGAAAATATTTAAAGTACAAATCTTCTATAACTAGATAATCGGGTCATAGTCAGGTTTATTTTTTTCTATCATATTAATGTTAGCAATCTAGTTATGTAGAAGTTATGTGATTCAAACAACTAATAAAAAGCCAATTGGATAAATAATAAGAATCCAATAATCTTATTGGATCATATAATATGTGTATTTGAAAACTTAAGAAATAGGAAATACTGGCCATTTTCAGATATCTCAACGAATATGATGGAGTACTGAATTTGCCCAAAACGCAGAAACAAATGTCTCAATTCACGAATCTGATGAATGAATTGACGAAGTTAACCGGCAAGAAGATCGAGAAGCCTATTGATTTTTATTATTTGTATCATACTTTCATGTCGGAGTCATTTTTAAACCTGACTCTTCCTAAATGGGCGTATGATTATTTCCCAGACGGTCCACTATTCGATGCGATCATAGCTGCATACAATATTTCAAATTCTACTCCTACATTAAAAAGGCTGTATGCTGGTAAAAACTGAATTCTAAGTTTTATTTCTTTCTAAGTTTCTTTTATCTTTTTTTATGTTATTTCTTTTATAGGCCCAATAATTCGTACTATATGGGAAAATATGCTAGCTGTTCAAAATGCGAGCTCAAATACGAAAATTTATTTATATAGTGGTCACGAAACTAACATTGCAACATTGTTGCACGCGTTCAACGTGTACAAACCCCATGTACCTGAATACTCTAGCGCAATTATTCTAGAATTATTACAACAAAATGATCAGTATTATGTAAAGGTGAGTATATTATTAAGGAACGTACAAAATTTCTAATTGATATCAATTAAAAAAGAGATAATTCCTCATAAAAATGTAAAAGTAAAATCTTAAATTAATATCCGTAAACATGTATGGTATATCAATTATTAATTTTTTATAACGTATAATAATATTAAACAACAAAAACTCCTGTATAAATCAAATATAAACTTGGAGAGAAAAGGGTGTATACAGATTGACGATTATGATTAACGGATAAATTATCAACAAGATATCGACGATTCATAATATTATAATATATTTAGTATGTCTTGTAAGATATACTAAATATTATAATATTATATGAATTGTTAATAACATTATATATTCATAATTTATTTATATGCATCATATCGACGATTCATAATATTATAATATATTTAGTATGTCTTGTAAGATATACTAAATATTATAATATTATATGAATTGTTAATAACATTATATATTCATAATTTATTTATATGCAATAAAAGTTTTTCCGATTCATTATCTATAATTTAGCTCGTTTTAATTTTGACCTGGGATATTCAAACTTCATTTGCATCGCATATTATACGAGCAAGAAATTATCAAATAATTTTATACTTTTGCTAGTTTAAAAAATATTATTATGTATGAATTAAAATCATCTTGACTAAAAATATAAGTCTTTTATTCATATGTATTTAATTTTATTGGACAATTTTCATTTAATATTGTTGATTAATTTATAATTTTACAGATTTTACATTATCAAGGTATTCCACCGATCATTAACGAGCTTAAAATTCCAGATTGCGAAACTATTTGTCCTTTCAACAAATTTTCAGATATAATTCGAGATTTACTTCCATCTGATAAAGAAATGGTTTGCGATAAAAGGCAGACTCGAGATTACGCAGATACAGAATATCCTGCTACCTTGGAGACCAATGTATACAATTTAATAATAAATAAATCGTCGACTTTATCATGTAACTAGATAATAACGACAACATATATCTGATGCCAATTTGAATGTTCACATAAAGTATTCTAAATATATATATTATAATTTTATAAATAAATATAGCTTAATTAATATTTATAAATGTTAATCAATACATATTCAGTAGTATATTGATTTTATTTCTCCTATTTATTGTCCAAACTTTATTTATTCCTTTCAAAAACATGATACCTATTTTTTATTTAATTACTGTATCAGGAGACGTGGTAGCGTATATTTCTGTGCTACACACAACATTATAGCAGAGAGAAGCCTGAGAGCGGCTATCCCCGGGATTTAGCTGCAACTTTATTTTGAAGCGCCTCTATGTCCACAAAACGTGGACATTGAACTATGTAGCCAATGTTCACGATCGTGTCGGTAATGTCCATGATTTTTTGGTTCGAATCTACCCTAAGTCCATTATTATCGATCCGTTAGACAAATAAAGATAGACAATCAATCGATTGTCGTTTGCTCACCCTTAATTTAAAAGATACAAGAAAATTAAGTTTTGGTATCGAATTAAAAAAAAGATTTTTTTCTTCATGCATTCGTTTGCTCATCGTTAGTTTGTTCATAAATCTTTTGAACTAAGGGTGAGCAAACGAAAATTCCAACTGAGAAT